AGTTTGAAGATTGAAAGCCAGTTACCTTTTTCTTTTTCAAGGAATGGCGATTTTTAGATTCTATTGTATTTTAAACATCCCACAGCCATCACTTTGTAAGGACCTGCCCATTTTAATTAAAGTTGTTCTGTTATTGTATAGTATTTTATTAATTTCTAAAGAATGTTTTACAATTAAGAAAATGTGGATTGTGTTATAAGTATTAAATAATTAAATATTTTGGATTTAAATTAAGAATTTTTAAACACATGAATTAAATTTCCCAGTGGGATTTAATTCAACATATTTACAAAATATTTTTAATCTAATGATTAGTAAATATAAAGAGAAGAATCAATTTAAAAACATGTTGGTAATTCATATAAATAAAAAGTTATTAAATTATATAGGTCAAAATATTTTAACTTAAAAGTAAAATTTTTTTGTTGCTCGCTAGTATCCCACTGCCTTAATTTGAAAAGGAGGTTCGTTTGAAACAGCGTGCAAGGATGCCCATGTTTGCTAGAAAAGATATGTGAGAGAGTGTTTGTAACTGTTTTCCTATATGTAGATTTGGAATGGCAGGAAATTTATTTGAAAGAAGCTATTTGATTGGCTATAGACCAAGAAAATCAAAATAATACAGCACTTCTTCTTAATCATCCCTCTGATTGGAATCAGATCAGATCCATAAGTTAATTCACCTTCATAACTTCTAAAATGAAATTAGGTCTCTTAGCAGATCTTCACGCACCAAGGGAACACAACTATGTAGATGTTGCTATATAGCTTCATAGTTTAAACGTTTGGCGCAAGTGGGAAAAGTTTTACTAGCACAAAACTGTCTGAGGGGTCTTAAATGTCCTGAAGTCAACCGAGCTAGAGTCATTTGATCCTTCCTATCACCTTTGAAACCAGTAGCAGTACTAGGACCAGTACTTCGATACCCTGAGTGTGCGCATAGCTGTCTCCTAGAATTGTTAATTAAAGCTTTTCTTCTCGAGTATAGTTCAAGGTAGGTCAAAGTTTCAGCAATAACCTGAGGCATGGAAGTACCCTTCTTTGCTAGTCTCTCGATTATATTATTATATTTTAGATTTACATGAGATGGTATTCACTGTAGATGGAGAACAGAAGATTGGGACAAGGTCTTGAGTTTTTATAGCATAAATGAGGCAGAAAGGCAAGAGCTGTTATCTCCGTTTGGCAAGATTATGAAAATTAAATTATCAAAGAATAAAAACTAAGAAATTATTTCTGGCTGAAAGTCGAGGAAAATGAAAATGGTGAGAATTACATTCAAACGTCTTTGCTCAGAATCTGCAATATTTGAGTTTTAGAAACAAAATGATGTCTGCTCTTAATGGAAAAGTAGCCAGAGTTATAGTAATGTAATTTACAAGCTAAAATACAAAATATACAAATCTTCAAATGTAATAAACGTCCGGCCTTATCCCCTTTTACAGTTAAGTACATAACGACTTAACTGTAAAAGGCTTAACTTGTTTGAAGACAAGTACATAACTTATTAGTTTAAAAATTAAATTTGAAATGTAACACCTGCTTTTTAAGTAAAAAATTAATAAACTAGAGAAGAATTTGAGTGTCTGTAAGAACTTATGTTAATAATAATTTTTCTAGAAAAGTTCGTGTGTCAATTAAGTAGTTTAATAATTGTAAATTTAAAAACCTTTCTTTTATCATATTTGTTTTATTAAACAAGGGTAAATTTGAATTTCTCTATAGCTCCAAAATTATATATATGAATACAAGATGTTTTCTGTGTAAAAAAAGTATGCTATAGTATAATGGAGAAATTTATCTCTTTTTTAATTGTTGCAGGAAAGTAAGCTGTTCTTTCTTTCCTTTTTTTACCCTTTTCTTTTCCCCTTCTTTTTTCTGAAATCTAAACTAAATATTATTTTTGTGAGACTTATGTTTGAGAGGATTCAGAGAGAATCTGATTTATGACTTATTATTGTCAGTGACTTGATTCATGCCCATCTTATTGTAATTTTAGGGTCATGTTTACTAAATAGTAGTTAGATACAGATTATGTTAATTATTATAAAGAATTTTGTTAATATATATCTCAATATTGGCTAAATGTTTTTAAACACTATTTGCTCAAAAATATTTCATTATTTCAACAAATTATTAAAATATTTTATTTTATTTTTTACTTCTGAAAAGTTTATACAAATCCATGAATTGCTTTCTAATGCAGTAAGGATCATTTTAAATACTCCACATGATATTTGCATTTTAAAATTTAAATCTTATTTGTAAAATTACTCTTGGAAGCCAAAAATCTTCAAAAAATTGTGATTTGAGATTTTTGCATTTTCAAATTATCTGTACTTTTATCTTTATAAAAATACACCATACTTTAATCTCTATGAGAATTAGAAATATAAAAATTCTAGTTTTAATTTATCGTCGAATGTTCTGTTTGATAAATGAGTAATTTTACAAGAAAATGCGGTTTTCTCCAAATATAATATTTTTATATGTGAAGTACCTTTCCTCATAAACTATTGCTCACAGGTATATGAATTTTTTATGGCTTATTTATTATGTTTCCTAATGTTTACTAAAATGAACTTTTTATGATAAAACTAAAGGGGGGGAAATTAAGTGGAAAAAGTGCTAAATTTTACTAAGCCTACTACAGTATTCTACAAATTACTCTAAAACATAAAATTTTTCAAAAGCTCATTTCAGTATAATCAAAAAAGATGTACTTTAATTACACAAAAATTTCACATGTATACCTATAGCAGATTTTGAGAAAAGGTACATCAAAAATAGCCAGTTTATCATGGTTAGTATAGGGGATTCTGACCCCCTTAATCATGTAATTCTTATTGACATCTTGATAATGTGACTTTTAATTTCATAAATTAAGGCATTGCGATTTTAAAATCAGAATGATTCATTTTGTTTAATGCATTTTTGCATTTCTGAAGTTTTGCGTGCAGGATTACAAACATTTTCTTTTTACATTGGCTTAAAAATATTTTATTTTAATTGGGTTTGATGTTTACCTAGTGTAAGATGAATTAGGGGTAGGCACTCACAGCAGTTATTAGTAAACTTTTTTTTCCTTCTATTACCTTCATAAATAATCTTTACTTATCATAAATAATCTTTACTTATATCTATTTAAAAATTTATTTTTAATTATTTACTAAATTATTTATTTACCTTCATAAATAATCTTTACTTATATCTGAAAGTAGGTGTTCAGATTATTTACATGTTTACAATTAATGCCTGGTTCACAAATGGCCTTCTTTAAAACTTAATGATTTACTGGAGTAGTATTTTGTGCCACCAATAACTTTTTGATATGTGGAATGTATGGATTTTATAAATAAAGTGGTTGAATTAAAAAATCTGCTTTTATTTTGCTACCTAGTTAGATGAGAGGCTCACTGAATTTAATGTGATTGTTGTGCATAAGTACGGCTGCTTAAAAAATCAAAATCTTGCAGTTTAATTTTGCGGGAGGGAATCCTTTGTGTACTTCAGGTATCCTTTAAAGTTGGTCAAATAACAGAAATAAATAGGCTCACCTTTCTTATAAAACTAATATTCCCCCCGGTCCTCTCCACACTTTATTTTGTGAAAATGTGATAACTTTGAATTGGTTTGTAGTTGGCCTTCATTATTATTATAAAGAATGAATTTAATTCTCTCAAAATTTGTTGTAGTCAAAGTTGCATTCAGGAATGTTACATTGCCTGGAGAATTTATTATGTAAATATCCTTAAAAGTTTCAGTAGAAATTTCAAAGTTAACGAACATGACATTTCTTGGCCTGACTAATTATCTCTTCATTCCTTATCAGATCCTTTCTACATGAGAGGTGGTCATATTTTCTCGTAGTTTAATATTTTGCCACAATAGTAGTCTTGTTTCAGTTTCTTTGTTCTTGTAGCAGATCTTGCTATTTAAAGTTATCGTTATAAAAGTTAAAAACACATAAATAATTTTCATAACTTTTAGGAATACTATGAATATAAAATTTTAGTAATGTTTTTCACATATAAAACTTCAACATGGAGGCCAAAGTTACATGACAGTATTACAAAATTTATCACAATAAACTGAATTCATGTTGACTGCCAAGTATTTTAACTGATAGTTAGGCAGCTGACTTGCTTGCCCGACATCGCGCTTCTGCTTGCCATTCAAATAACATGGAAAAACTGTATTTTAAATTTTTACTAATGCTGGTAGTAAGGTTTTTTTGTAATGTATATATATGTATGTGTGTATGTATATCCTATTCTTACAAAGCATTCAGTTATTCATTTATATGCTAAATAATTCAGATACTGAAAATTGGAAGACAGCAGAATGTCTAAAAGGAGATGCAATTAAAATAAAATATTCATGTGATTGTAGTCCATTAGGTTTCTAAAAATTATTATAAGTTTACCACAAGAGGTATTCATTCCTTTTAGTGGCTTAGATTATAAATATGTTTATAATCTGTTAAATAGATGTTAAATAAATATAAATAGTAAATTATAACTATTATTACTTAACAGATTATAAATATGTTTATAATGTATTAAGTATTTAGTAAATGATAACTATTATTTAGATAAAATTTTAAAAAGTCATACAACTTTTTTTCCCCTTTAAATCAAACTGATAGTTTAAATCAGTTTGGAAAATGGAATTTTTAAATTGAGACATTTAGATCAATAAATATTATATTTTTTGTGTGCATGCATTAATATTTATGCATTGATTTAAGAAAGCAATACGGATTTTATTGCAACACATTAAATTTAATATTTACTGTATTTTGCTTAACATCTTTTGAGAATCTTATAGAACATCTTATAGGCTACATAAGTATTATTAACTTTAATATTTATTAAATGCAGATTATTTTTGCATTTTCCATTCTCTCTCTCTATATATGTATTAAAAATTAATATTTTATGTAAAAACTGTTTTTACAATTGTTTTAAAAATATTTAGATAAAGTGTTTTACTTTCAGACCGAGCTTTCAGGTGCCATTTTGAAAATGCAGATCCTGTTCTAAAGAGACTGAGATGTGCATTGTGCCCATTTATAACTGCTCATGTATCAAAGTTGAACAGACATAAACTAACTCATTATAGGGAAAAGAAAACTTATTCATGTCCTGATTGCCAAAAAACATTTACTCAAAAGTATAATCTCAAAGTTCATATGAGGCTTCATACTGGTGAGAAACCTTTTACTTGTCAAATTTGTATGGAGTCATTCCATTTTCGTCCTTCTTGGAAGCGTCATCTTCTGATGCACAATTGCCCAGAAATGAAAGTTGAACAGACATCAACTTAATTTACTGTTTGCAGGGAAAACGGGAATGCTTTAAGTGTTGTATGATTCTGGTATTGCATTTATTAGTGAGAAATTATTTTACTTCTCAGATAATGTGGAGTTCTTTTCAATTTTTACTGTTCTGGGAAATTTGAACTTTTAATAATGGCAAGTGATTATGAAGCTAATTTTTGAAGTATTGTTGTGTAATTTTCAGATTAGTATTTATTGCATATTAAATGTAACTGATAGCATAAATACATACATGTAAATATTAATTAGTTTTAATTCATATTTAAAAATAAAGAAAACTTTATTAGAAGACTTCTCCTCTGTCTTGAAACAAAATGCTTATTTTTCTTTTAATTCTTTCCTTGTATTATATAAATGCACATTATTGTGGTTTCCTTCATGTACAGTGTGTGGTATATTCATTATTATATTCATTCATGCTGTCATTAAACTTGATTATTGTCACTGGATGCTAATAATGAAGAATTTAATAATATTTCAGAAATATGTTGTCATTAAATAAACATGCTAAATCATGGAAATAAAGTACAAATGTTTGATATGGCTTAGTAGTTTTTATCTGCATGCCATATTTCTACTAAATCTATTTATAAGTATATTGTATAGACAGAAAACTAAAAAAAAAAGTGTATATTGAAATATTTATACCTGTGCTTTAAAAAATTTGCATGTATGTATGTTAATAGTTTTCTGCCTTTTGTTTATAATTGCAGCATTTTAATTGTTATTTCACAAAATGATTGAAGTTATTGCAATATATTTGCACTTTTTAAATTACAAACAATTTTTTTAAATTAAGTATACATCATATAAGTTTTTAAGTGGTTATGCATATTGTTTTTTAAAATAATTTATTGTATGGCTTTAGATTTTGATCTTGAATACTAGCAAATATTTTAGTTTGAGATGTCAAAAAAATGTGTTGTAGAAGATCAAAAATTCATCGTTACCTGAAACATTTACCAGTCTGTCAGATATTTGCAGTGAAATACAGATGGCATTGCAATTTTGGCATCAGGGTTTCCTCATTGAAATATTGAAGCAAACTAGTCTGTTGATTGCCACTTTATAACTGCCAAATAAATATTTTTCCATTAAATCATTAAATTTTTTGCTTATAATTATATGTTACCCTGTTTTGTTTTAATCTAGCAAAATTACTGTCGCCAGGATAATTTTATTCTTTCATAAAAGAGTAGCAGACAAACCATGCAGAAGCATTCTAAGTATTGAAACTTGTCATATTTTTATCCAGATGTAACTTTATCCAATTAATTTAATTTTATTAATTTTATTAATTTTTATCCAGATGAAACTTGTCATATTTTTATCCAGATGTGTTTTTTCATGTGAAATTTTGATAAAGGAGCCGAAATTGATTATATAGTTTAACAACTGCCAAAGGATGAAGAGTCTGCCATTAAATTTTTTCAAGAAAGAAAAATTATCTGTAGTAAAAGACTGTTTGCTCAAATAACCACTAGCAGGAAGTTATGTTTCAGTTAATGTGATATCAAAATAGTGCTGTAGGCAACAATTATGCTTAGAGAAAAAGGATTGTCGGCTCAAAATCGTTTCGATGGACTTATTCATTTGATGAAATTGAAATATTTTCCTGAAATATTTCTGTACAATTGACCAACAATGCATTTTAAATGTATCATTAAAATACCCATTAATATTTTAATCTACGTTTCAACCCAGCATTAATATTTCGTACTAACAGCCACCCCATCAACAGAGAAGTTTGTATGTGTTAAATAAACCCATGATTCTGTTGCAAGTAAGAATTGAATAAAAGATTTTAGAATAAAAAACTGTATAACTGAGCAGGAAGTAAAGATTTTATAGAATTTGGAATGGATGGTCCGGTGAAAATATTCTTGTTTTAAAACAATTTGTTGTAAATAGATGTTTGAAAAATGTAAAAAATATTTATATACTTTGTTTCTTTTTGTATAAAATTATAAAACATTTAGTATAAATAGCTGTGTAAAAATATTAAAGAAATGTTTATTTTGCCCCCTTTTTATTCTAGGGAGGAGTTTAGTCTATATATAATGATTTTTTATTGATGATCTGAAATCCTCAAAACTCTAAAATCCACTCAGGTCCCAAGCTGTGCAGATTTTTGTTATGCTACCAAATTCATTTTTATGTACTTTTCAGCAGTTTTTGATAATAACGTCATTTTGTTTAAAATTCAAAATTTTGTGTTCAAGACTTTGTTGTTATGAGAGGTACTTATGCAATATATTTTCTACAGGTCATTTTCTGATGGCAAGAGCAAATGTTTCAAGCTTTTACTGCAAACATTGTTTTTACAGATCAGGCTCCTATTCTGATATAAAAACTCATGAAAAGGTGCATACTAAAGATCGCATATATTCTTGTGATGTATGCCATAGGACATTTAATCGAAAATATAATTTAAAAGCTCACATGAGAATACATTCTGGAGAAAAGCCTTTCAGCTGCAAGTTTTGTACTCTTCACTTTTCTTTTCACACATCTCTAAAAAACCATGTGATTTCTCACCATAGTTCTCATATTACCAAGTAATTTTTAAAAATCCATCATCTTTGATAAGATTCTTGTTGAAGCTCTGTTCTCTTTTCTTTCTGTGATGGTTATGTTTTCCATGAAATATAATTTATTTTTCATAAAATGGTTTCGTGACTAAACTTTTTTTGTATGTGAATGAAAATTATGTAAATATGAATTATGACTTTCATGTGTGTAAATATTCATAATGAAAGTTATTTATTTAAATTTTGTCATTAAAATTTAAAAATTGCATTTTTTGTAAATTGTTTTATTTAGTGAAATTTGGAAGTGACATTTAACATGCAATTTTAAGTTAAAGTTTTTTACTGATATTTGTGTCTTTGACAAAAACGTAATGGCTGTATTTTATGGTGCTTGTATATCAGCTGGAGCTAATGATAATTGAGTGATTTATATGCTGTTAACTACTTTGTTGGTTAGAAATCAAAAAGTACCTGTCTAGCAATCCTGTTTATGTATATAAAAAATTGTTCAAGCTTATTTTAAATTTTGAGCAGGTTTTTTCCATATGTAACACTATGTTGCTTAATTTATTTTAATTAAACTTTTTTTTAAATTTATAATTTACTTTCTTCTGAACATGAAAGTGTAATTAAGCCTTTTCTCATTTAGGGGAAACTTATTATTTTATTGAGTTGTGGAAATAATCACAAAATGAGTCTTTATTTGCTGGATATAGAATGTAATGGTGATACAGTTTATAACCATGATAGAGTAAATAAAAGTATACATAGCATTGCATGATCTGTTTTTTTTTTTTTTTTTTTTTTTTTTTGATTGAGCTCTGTAGTTCATGTATTCTCAGAGTGAAGACTTTTATGTTATGGAGGGGGGGGGGAAATCGAAAAGTCCAAAAGAACTTAAATGGACTAAAATAATTAATTATATATTTGAAGGTCTCTACTGTTTCGTTATAGAAATGGGGGGGGGAGAAATCTAGATTTGATCAGTAAATTGGATAGAATTTTATTTAAAAACTTACCTGATATGTATTTGTTTAGCAATGAATACTTTGGGATCTCCTAAGAAATTAATAAGTGCTTTCTTAATCAAATATATAATCATTCAGAGCCAAAAATCAACAAAGCAATTAAAAATAATACAAATGAAGGAATTTTACATTTTCTAGCTCTTGGAAATAATGCTACACAGCGGTAGAAATAGGAGGATTTGAATGCTGTAAAATCAATCATAAATATCGTTTTATAATTCCAAAAATTGATGCACACTTTTAAAAGATTGAATGAGTGTAGTACTATAGCATAAAATGGCAAGATTAAAAATACTATAATGGCACACCATCATTTGCAGCCATATTTTGGGAAATTTCTTTTTAAAAGTTTTGCTGGATGTTAATGAATGGCTTTCTGTAATTGAATAGTGATTAATTTTAAGAAATTAATGAAATGCTTATTTATGTATTTTGCCTGAATAACATCATAATTGGCTATTTATCTTTTCATTTCTCTCAGAAATTAGGAAATTTTACATGCTGCTATTAGATGAGTATTAGATATGTAAATGTAATTGGAAGGACTTTAATTCAGTATAATGTTTATGTAATTACTTACAAATAAAATGCTTGCTTAGAAAGTTTGTCTCAATTAACAATTTATTTATCAGATTTTTGAAAAATGACAAAGTTTTAAGCACTTTTAATGTGCTTAAAACTTATCATACAAATGTTTTTACATTTACCTTATATTTTTCATAAAAAGTAATGAAATCTAATTTTTTGTATTGTTTGTCTAAAAGTCTATGTATTTAAGCATTAAAATATCCTTTAAATGAACCTTTCTTATATTGACTAAAATTTTATTGCTTATTTCTGTTGGTAACATTATATTATTAATATTTAAGCATTTTCCTTTTTGTTTGATATCAATATCAATTAGAGAAAGCTTGGTCATATCAAGAAATTAAATATTTGCCTCTTTTCTTCCCCCCCCTTTCCTTTTTTTTTTCAAACAAACATTTGGATCTTGCCAGTTATTAACTGTCAGACTGAGTGCCACTCTTTCATCTGATGACTCTATATTAAATTCTAAAAATACTTTTGTTTTGTAAATGTGTATTTGTAACTTGCGTTACAGGTTTTAAGATTTTATTTTATAGATTTCTAAATTTGCTTATGTGCTCTAATCAAATCTATTTAAATTAGCTTTATTATTTCATATATTTTGTATTTATTGTGTATTATTTCATATATTTAATGGCAAATTTTAAGTTAGATATTCATATCAAAGCAACCAATTAAAAAAAACCAATAAATTTGTAATCATTTACAACTTAACACTGCATTCAAGTAACTTCATATGTAATTTAAAAAACTGTTTATTATTGCTGTAAATTCTGGTAGTTTAAAATGAAATGTTTCAGAAACTGAGTTAAAAATTAATTATTACTAGCCGCTATGCAGCCAGCCTTCGTCTGGCTTTAAAATGTACTTGAAAAATGCCTAAACATTAAATTTTAAAACTGTACAAAATTTTATTCTGCAGAACAAGTTTATCAAAAAAACAAAAAATAATAATAAATAAATAAAATAAAATAAATAATAAGTAAATATAATAATAATAAATAAATATAATAAATAATAAATAAATATAATAAATAATAAATAAATATATTGCATATAAAACAAATTACAATGAAATAAGCAATATCCCTTAATACAACTATTCATTACCTAATAAATAAATTAACAAATTTCCTGTTGCCTTCTTTCGACAAACGTCCAGTATTGAAGAGAAACATTGAATTTAAAAACTGCCCAGAATTATCCCCTCATTTTTCAGAGTGGCAACAGTGCTGATATCAGCAACAATGGCCGCTTTCCATTGTTGCTGATGTAATGAGAGAGGATTATCGATTTGATACGATTTTATCAAAAGACATAAAATAAAGAAATAATTTTATAAAATTCATTCAAATTTTGAAAAAATCGCTTCGAGGTGCACTAGCTCTTCCCTAGATGCACCCTATGTACCAAATTTCATAGCGATGGGTCTATTAGCTTACGTGCAGCACAAATGAAAGACATGCTGATAGGCAGACTCTTCCTTTTATTATATTTAGAGATTATTAATGATGGGAGGAGGATATGCATAGTATTTTTCATATAAAAGTTTTAAAAAAATTGTGTTTTTATGTTATAAGGAACTAATGGTGTTTCTTCCATGTGTTATCATGATTTATTGCTCGGCAGATCCACAGATTCACCTAGCAGTAGGAAGTTTTGAGTTCGAGTGATAGCATATTTTTCACATTTCTTTCTTTCTCCTTCTCTTTTTTTTTTTTTCGGGGGGGGGGGGGGATTCAGTTTAAAACTTTTTAACCTTTATCTTTAAGAAAGTCTCCAAAAAAAGTTCTATGAGTCTATCAGTGGGAAGTCTTGGGTTGAATTAATGTCACATTTTTCACATTTCTCTCTCTCTTTTTTAATTTGAAGATTAAATTTCTGGCAATTTTGCACGCTTATCTCAATGAAAATCAAGTCTATGAGTCTGTACAATATTAAGATACACTCTGCATAATCAACTTACATTTCTCTGAAAGCTTTTTGCTTTGCTTTACATTAAAGCATTAACAGGTTCCCTGCCGCGTGGGGCGTATGCGCCCCATGCTAAACTTTCCGTTCAAGCCATTTGGTATTATCCTAGAAAAATTAATTTATTGGTTTGTTGTGTTATGCATGTTAAACTATACAACCTTTCCTTGATAATTATGATTTTTGCGCTATTTTAATTATTGTAAGGCATACGCCAGAAACAAAAATAATACAAATGTAAAGCGTGGGGCGTATACGCCCCACGCGGTCTGAATGGGAAGTTTTCAAAAAAACGGTCTGGCAGGGAACGTGTTAATAAATAATAATTAGGAAAATGACACTTTTAAAAATTAACTTGTTTGATTACCTGTAGAAGTTCCTCATTAATGGAGGTGCTTTTGATAAAAAATAGTTAAAATATGTGTGAAAAATTTTTAATTAGTTGTATTGACAATATGTATGAAATAAAAATATGAAGTACAAATTTGTATTTTGAATTTGAATGAAGTACGCTATGCTTATCGAAATAATAATAACTAAAAGAACTTCCAAGGAAGAACTTTTATCTCAGGGAGGCTGAAATTTTTGTCGGTGAACTGTAAAGTGATATTGAAGCTGGAAATACACTAAGGTTCTTTGATATTAAGTTATGATAATTTTTATTCTTGAATTAAATGATAATTTGATTAGGCATTGTAATAAAGATGTAATTAATTAAAATGATTAGTTGAAATATATAGTAATTAATTAAAAGACATTTTAATTTAATTAATGCAGAATAATTAACATATATTTCATCATAAAGAATAATTAGTTTGTATGTAGAATTTGGAATGATTAATATTTTTCTTATCTGATGCAATATTTCCTGATTGAAGTTAATAATATATCTCAGTTTCAATTCTTTAAATCACAAAAATTAAATCATGAGTAATAAAAATTTGAGGCTAATCATACTTCAGGGGTGTTATTAAAAAGTATAAAATGTGCTATGAAATCTTTCTAATATGACTACTTATAGTTCTAGATAATTTTTATTATTTGTGAAGGTAGTTAGAGAACTGATGTTCAGTACCGATGTCTGTTTACATTCTCAACAGCAACTACTACTACTGGTACTCTACAAGTAGTAGTTATTGTGAGATGCTTCACTGCATTAGGTTGAAATTTACTTTTCTTGTATTTTAGGAGGACAGCAAATATGATGAGCTAACCAAATGTAATTTCATTATTTCCCTCTCCATTTTTTTTTATGCTTCTGTTTTCGATTAATTCAAAATAAATGCTGAGTGTTATCATTTATGTGCTTTAGTATAAAGGAAGATACAAAAATCAGGTTTTACTTCTGTAATCACTGAATTCTTAAAATAAGAATGAGATTTCATTTGTTGCAAATAAATTTCAAAACAGAATATTCGTATATATATATATATATATATATATATATATATATTTTTTTTTTTTTTTTTTTCAGAATTTCCTAGATGTATAATTTGTATTTTCTGTTTTTATTGGAATAGTGTATATTGTTAGAAACTTTTACTTTCCTATAGAAGCGATTACTTAAAGGAGTGAGTTTAAATTTCTTTCATGAATATATCAGTTTTAGCTTTAGAACTATTTTTATATACTGTGCTTGTTTCAATATTTTATTAAGTTGCACTGTTGATTAAAAAAATTCAAGTGAAGTTGCTACTGAGCAGTTTCATTGTGTATTGCCATGAATTATATGCTGTTCTTTTGCTACCTTTTAATTTTCAGGCTTCATAATATAATTAATTTTATCCCTGGTACATAGCTCCCCAACAATTTGGATATATAGAGAAAATTAAGTAGTTTCATTTAATTATAAAATTTTGTAAAAACGAAATGTGTTTAAAAATTGAAAGATAGGTGAAATTCGGTTTTAGTTTGATACTGATTTTATTAAAATTTATTGAAATTAAAATTCTTTCATATTGTTGCCAATCTAAAACTCTATTTTGGCTCAAAATATCAGTTATTTGGATTTTAAAGTAAAAGTATCTATACTGATCCTCTAACACTTATGCATATCTTTCTGGTTGTAATGAAAGTTTTCTGCTAAAAAAGCGTTTGTAATAAGGTTAAAAAAATGAAGCAGTATTCCTTCAGCCCAGAAACTTGAGTGGCCACGAGTCCAAAAACAGACCAACCACATTTTGGACGTCTTGTGCAGAATAGAAGATAGCACCAGCAAGATGTAGCTGCAGGTGTGAAAAAAGTTTCATGATATTAAAAAATTGTGTTGTATTTTTCATAATCCTTTTTATTCTCAAGTTTTATTCTCAATTAATATTAAATTTCTGTTTTCATTTGTGATGTTTTGCACCTACTTGAATATTTTAATCTGTTTTGTAATTTTAACCATGTTGAGAAAGGTAAAAAGTACTAAAATTATGCAATATACTTTTTTTCTTATTTCACTAATTTTCATTTTAAGAAATGTGAAGTGTTGCTGCATTGAAAACTTTAGTACTTTATTTGGTATTTCGTTATGCAAAGTAATCCCTGTCTTAACAAACTTATATCTCAAATTTGTAATCAGCAATTTTAAACTATCATTTCAAATTTCTGTGCTTTAATTAGAAATTATTCTATTTATTTAATCATATATTAGACATGCCATTTTAAAAATATGTGGCTTCAGATATTTAGTTCGAAATTTTATTTTAAGAATTTTGTAACATATGATGCCCACTCATGCTTATTTTTGTCCATTTAGAAATTGTATCTTGTGGTAGTAAATACTGTGGAAGAAAAAAAAAAGGATTTGTTTGCTTATACAGTACAAAGTCCGTAATCCAGACTCGTCAGGACTTCGGCGATTTCGGATTAGGGGTTTTTTCTGGATTATAGATCATCAATTTAAATCTGGTAAGATGGCATGCAGAAATTATACTATTAAAAATATGAAACCGTAATTTATGAAATAAAAAGCAATTTTGATCTAAAGCGTATCAAATTTTACAAAAAAAAAAAAAAAAAAGCTTAATATTTATTTGTTTACTGCATTAAACATTTCTTGCGCTTAAAATGTATGCACATTCTCTAAGCACATGCGTAAAGTTTGTGGCTTTGAGGTCCGTATTATAATGGACGTCCAAATTACGGACTTTGTACTTATAGCTGAAGTATTTCAAATATTTTATTTCAGACATTTAGTACAAAATTTTTATTTTTCATTCGTATAAAAACTGTAAAATTTTGTGTCGAAAATAAAGTTTGATGAGTGTGGTTTCATATTTATATTAGTATTGAACATCATCATTGCTTATTCAAATTTTAAAAAATCTTATGTGAAAAATAATTACTTTTAAGAAGGTATGTTTCCTATCTTTTTCTTCTCATTTCTATTAGTTTAGAAAAGTTTTCATATTTTTTTACATTTTTTCTCTAAAAACCTTTTTTTGTATTGATGTGAAAAGTATTTAAAATTTTACTTCTTTTAAATATAGTTATGTCATTCATTGTTTTTGTGATATGGAAAAGTTACAGTATGGTTGCTTTTAATTTCAGATTTCTCATTCACCCAAAAACTGTCATCTCCAAGACATTTAAGTTCTGAACAATTCAAGTGCCAGTTCTGTCCTTTTAAAACTAATCAAGCATCCAGTCTGAAAAATCATGTTTTAGTTCATACTCAACAAATGATGTTTATTTGTCAAGTCTGTCAAAAACCATTTAGCCAAAAGGGTAATCTTAAAGTTCACATGAGACTTCACACTGGCAAAAAGCCTTTTAAATGTGAAATATGTCATAAATCGTTCCCCTTCCGGCCGTCATTGAAACATCATCTTCTTTTGCATAAATGATTGCTTTTTTATATTAACTATTTGTTCCCTTTAAATTTGTGCTAATTTTACATAAATAAATTGTTGCTTTCTTTTGTAATCTCTATACAACATCTCAATCTTCACTTTGTATTCTAAGTGACTTTATTGTGCCTTTCTTTTCCATATGAGACACTTATTTTAGTAAATTTTTTATCATATCATTCTTAAAGCCTTACTTGTCTGTAGACTTATGTCCTTCTTAATCTGTAACTTTTAATTACTTGTCTGTCCTTCTTAATCTGTAACTTTTAATTATTTCCTTCTCATTGAGATACAATGTTTTATACTTTATGTACATTTAGGTATTTTATTTGTTAGACTTATCTTAGTTTTGAATTCTTAAAATAAGCATATCAAATATGTTAATTGGTTTAGTAAGCAGATTTCATTTATGCTAAAATGTTAAGTATTGCCATTAGTGGGAAATATGTGTTGTAAGCCCATGCGCTGTAGCTGTGTCTTGAATAATTGTCATTTCCTTAGAAGTGCACAGATCTTCATGTGACATTAATTTGTGCTGCAATGATAACATTGTAGTTCCCCCTTGTACTGTCTGTCTTTGATGTTTTTAACCTAATTTTAAATTATAAGATTTTTTTTTTTTGTTTGTTTGTTTTATATCTTGAATTTCTAAGAGATTAATTCATAAACTGGTAAAATGATCATGACTGTTTAGCTTAAAATTGTTTTAAGTTTTGATTCTAAATTAAAAAAGCATACAAATGAAATTTGCTAGTGCAATTTTTTAAAAGTTTATTTCTTAATTTTATAGTCAAAAGTTTTTTATATTAAAAAAAAAAACTTAACAGTGGCAATTTGTTTTTAAATTTTTATTTTAAAATATTTGTGTGCTAGCAAGTTAGTATTTACTGAGAAAGAAGTAAATTACTTTTTTTCCTTCTCATTAAGAGCATTTTTGTTTAAAGGTTTTTAAATTAAATTTGAAGTAAAATGAACTGTCAGCTGAAATTTTAAAACTGGTTCTTTTTTAAACATTGAGTTCTGTATTCTTCGCTGCCTGCTTCCTTATTGAAGGAAAATAGAGAAAACGTTTTTAAGCTTTTGTAGTGCACTCATAATGAATTTGTATTTGATGCCGTATTTTTGGTTAAATAAATACTTTTAAGTGGTTGTAATAATTTGTTTTTACTTTGATTTTCAAAGACAATTGTAAAGCATGGGAGGTTTAATATGTCTTTGTTCTAAAACTGTCGTGTATTTTTTCATTGCAAAATTAGTTTTTGTGATTGTTGCTTTTAATTTTTGCAAAGATTGCTGTGCTCTTTGATGTTTTGGCATGAAAAATGTATTTATCTTTATTCATTTTGTAAGTATTAAATTAATAAAACTGTTTATATGAAATTTAAAAGTTGGGTTAACTGCAAATAATTACAATTGTGATAATATAAATTGATAAAATACTCACCAAATTTAATATTTACTTGCTAAGCACTTAACATGATTGTATGAATTATCATTGATTTGATACAGTACTTATCAAAAGTAGTTTAATACTTCAAGGAGTTGAATTTTGCTTACAAAAGGCAATAAAATAATGAATCTTTTAACAGTGTTATGCAAGTTATCTTCATTCAGAAAATTGTGTGATTTGAAATCCATGTCCTCTTTTCTCGATTAATGAAAAAAATATTCTTGAAATATATAGAAAAATTTTAACAGGTTAAAAAAAAAACCTTTTAATTGTGGCTTATTTTTATAATGTAAAAATTAAAATCATTTTATCTCATTTGTAGTTACGATCTATCAAAATTAATGTAGGTTTACTTGCTTGTAAAATTTCCTTTTGCTGTTTCATCTACATGTTTCTTTGTTAATTAGAAAACTTCAAGGCTGCCAGTCAAGCGATTATGTACACGTTTAATAGTAAAGCTAAGGATTGAACAAGATCACTTGTTTTAGAGATAATGTAAAGAAAAAAAGAAACTGTATTTTAAAATTTGATGTTTGGAGAAGAGGATATGTGTGTATTATTGCATGTTAATATTGTAGCATCAACATGCAGTTGTAAAGTTAGAACAGTACAATGTATGCAAAAATTTGTAAACATAATCTGTTTCAGTTACTAACAGTTTTAACTGGCAAATGTAATCTGTTTGTAATCTTGAATATTGTGTACATAATAAGCAATTTGAAATTGTAAAGAAAAAGAAACATCTTTAGTAGTTTCAAGTCTGTTTGCTTTTTAATGTATTTGCGTTAACATACTTATTTTAAATGAAATGATCTGACAACAAATGCATTTATCTAAATCTATATGCCTGTAAATTTTAAAAACTTTTGATTAAATTAAAAAGAAGATTCAACCCTTCTACAGTCATCAGTGAGCTCAAATTGCATTCTAGTTATGAACCTGTTTTGCATTACAAATTTATGACTGACAGATATCGCATAGATTTTGGAACAAAGAACTGCTTAATCTGACAACCACTGAAGGATTAAAATTAAGTATGGTAATTTAAATATTAATATTACTAAACAAATAAAATATTCTATATCACTACATGTATCAGACTGCATTAAAAATTATTGAAATTTCTTTCCCCCCCCCCTGAAATACCCAAAGGTCTTTAGTAATGTTTGTTTGATATTTAATGTATAAAAAATGCTGATATGCTACTGAGAAGACCTTACATGAATTGCAAATGTATATATTGATTTTTACGGTTTTTTTTTTTTTTTTTTTTTCCATCTAAATTTGTTGTTGCAATAGGTAATTATTACAGAATGATAAGGATATCCAGATTTTAAGTATATAATTGTGCTCATTTTTAAAGGTATATATTTTCCTCGAAGTCTTTTATCAAGTTGATAATATTTTGCGTATCTGTTGGATTCGTGCAATATGGCATAATTTTTAAATTTCCCTCAGCAAAATTTTCAATATCCTAAGTGAAGGTTTTCTGTTAATGATAGGTATTTCTTATGTTTGTAAGTGAAAATTTACTGAAAAAAGATGTGTGAATTATATTTTGCCGGCTTAAGGTTACTGTGAGACTAAAAATTAAATTATTGAATTATTGTAGTAACTTGAAATCTATTTTAAAACATTTTCTAGTAACTTCAAATTAAGTTGAAGTTTAATTTAGCTTGGAGTGTCAACAGGCTTTTTAAATATTTATTGAATATGCATTTTGTTAAATTTCGTGCAATAAATATTCATATGGCTAAAGGATTTAATGTGTGTAAAACTGCCAATTGCATTTAAGCTCATTTCAGTAATGCTAGTTAACAAAAATTAGTACCTTGAGTTTGGCATAGATTTAAGTTAAGATCTCAATCAATTTCGAGGGTAAACTGGTACAGGTCTCTCTTCATCAGGAGCAAAGAAATCTTCAAGATGGGAAAGGAGTAGTTGTAACGATCATATTTATACTCCACAGTAAAGCAAAAGGGAAGACAGTGCCTTCTATCTATCAGCAAAAGTATTAACGAAATTCAAAAATTAAGTTAATAGAATTTTAACAACATTAGGAAGGACTGAACTTTTAATTCCAATCCAATTCACTGCTATCCAGTCTTGCAGATTTCTATGCTGCTGATGATAAGGGACTTGTACCTGTTTGTCCCTGAAATCGCTTGAGATCTTTACTTAAATCTATGCCAAACTCAAGGTTATTATTTTACCAATTTTATGTTTCTCTTCTGCTATTTGACAAGTTCAGAACAACTCCCTAAAATTTTTCAGAAAATAATAACTGAATTTAATATTTGTTTAAGCGGTTTATTGCTAATTGTGTTTGCATTAAACTATTAACTTTTGTATTGCTGAATAGAGGTTATAGCTGAATGAAAGAGAAACAAACTGCAGTTAATGGGACTGTCATATCTTGTGTTTATGGTTATTGTTAATATAATTATATTGTACATTAATGGGTGTGTGCATAAATATCACAGAAAGATCAGCACATAAATTAATAAGTAAATATGTAATATGTTAATAAGTAAATTTATGCTTGAAGGGGTCACTAATATAGCAAACCAGTTTGTTAAGTCCCACCATTGACTGAATTTCTAGTGGTAAAATTAGTTGGCTACTGCTTTTGCAATTCCATTTATGATATAATTATGTGCCATTCTCCCATAATATATATGCTTCATAGTAGCATTCCCATAGGTAGGTAACTTAAAGTGTTTGATGTAATTTAAATAAATATTTGACAAATGCATTATAGGATTAAATTTTAAGTATTGTAAGTATTCAAATGATTCCTTTGTTGTAAGCTGAATTTTTTTCTTTTTTTCATTTTTATATTGTGTAAAAAGATTAATTTCAGAATTTTTTTTATGTGTACCATTGGAGCTTGCTTTAGTAAAATAAATTTCGAATTAACATAAGTTCTTATGTATCGATTTTTAATGTAGACAAAAACTGTTATGTTGATGTCTATTAGCTGATGTTAGCATATTTATAATGTGATATATAACTTGAAAATACAGAGTCCGAGAGAAAGTAAACACTTGTTATGTCATAGTGTCAGGTATTTCATGCGCGGCGTGTATTTGAGAGGTCCGTGGTTCGAATCTCAGTGAGGGCATTGCTCATTTTTCATCTCTTTAAAAAAATACCTTATGTCTCTACAGTGGCGCCTGAAATAATAAGCTGGTGGATGATGATTCTTGATAAAAAAAAGGTGGTGTATGATAATTTTCCTCGCCAGAATTTGGTGGTTGGGTCCCCTAATCCCTAGTTACCCTTTAAAAAGGGTGTATATATAAGGTATTTATCCTACCTTCTTAGCATGCCTTCATGGTGTAGTGGTCAGCATGCTCGGCGCATATTCAAGAGGTCCGTGGTTCAAGTCCCAGCGAGGGCATTGCTCATTTTTCATTTCTCCTGCTTTAAAAAAATACCTAATGTCTCTACAATGGGAAATGATTATTTTAAAAAGCTTATAAAGAGTTTTTGTCT